GCATTGCAAATATGGTCGGTAGGAGAGATCTAGAATAAAAAGAATAAAATGATACATTATGGGTAGATAACACTATGCGCCTTCTTTTATTCAGGCAACATGGTGACTTTCGATATGTTATGGGTAAACTAGGTACTTACATCTCTAGGATAAGTCCACATTGGGATATTGTTGACCACGTCTAATCTTCACTCTCATTTTCTAGAGCATGCCGTCTCATGTGCGACAAACTCTGAATGCAATTAATACACTGTAAATTCATCATCGCGACAAATAACAACACACTGCACAAAATAATGTAAATAAGTGTCTTTTCGCAATTGTCACAACAATGATGCCAATAATACCAATTTGGGCTACGGAGGAACGGTTGCCAAACTCAACGTATCACCAGATGAATAAAATAACTTCAAATTCAACAAACACATCATAACATCGCATTTGAAACAAACAGCAATGCGCCAGTATTGACAAATTAATTGTCAATGTCATCAAGACAAATGCCAGTTCAACATTGCCATAATATTCAAGTTTGTTAAAATGTTAATTATCATTAATAATCCATGTAAACGTAGATTTAGATTGGATGTAGATTTTTATATTTACTTATAAAAATGTTTGAAATGGAAAGGAAAATATTTCATTGATAGATATTAAAATAAATGAGTTTATGAAATAGCGAAATTCAATATGCTCTGATTTCATCTTTACGCATGGCAACTTTGTAAACGTCAATCGCGGTTCGTTTTACGTATAGTAGATTGTTTTTTATCATTATTGAATATCAGTTTTTCTAGGATTTCCCAAGTTTTAAAAATCTATTAAATATGCTAACATAACGTACTTAGGAGGTTCTATAATGACCCAATTTTTTAATGACAAATCTTTTTTTAGCGAAGCGGTACAAAATCTGCCGTTCTCCTTTTAAATACTAAGATTCCATATCTATTATCTGACTTCGAATCTTAGTTTCTATTTAGATAGCAAGAAACTCCACCATAAATCCAAGACCCCAGGAGCCCCATACGTTACTTAATTAGTAATTTACTTATATAATAGTATAGGCGCTCCGTGTAAAAATCAGGCTTATTCTGCCCTATTTTGGATTCTCATTTTCTGGTCCCAATACAGTACATGAGCAGTGCGACCGTCCGATAACTTGACGTCACTCTGTGCCCCTCACACTTCCTCGCTCCCAGAACTCCCACGGGACATTTGTGTATAACCAGATATAGACTAACTAATGGATTTATGGCGTCTACCAATAACTATTAGTTATTCTGTGAAAACTCACAAGTGTATTAAGTACACATATGCAAGTATATTAAGGACCCCAACACAAGTTTATGTTATACTAAAACTGCGGCCAGCCTCGGATAGATAAGTCATTAATCTTAATTTACGATGACGTAACTGCGATATATTATTTGTTCTGAAGCATAGGCCTTATAATAAAGAGTGTCCGTCAATACATAAATAATACGTCACAGCGACTGTTGGTAGTGTCATGATTGCTTCAGAAACTATAAAATAAGAGTCCTTTTATTAATTACCAAATGTCATGATATCAAAAACGAAAAAAAGTAATTAAAGCGACCTGTCCCTGTCTCCTCTCTGTTTATACTTATTACATTCACTGAACTGAAAATGAACGAAATAATTACTTGAATCATTATCTCATTTACACAGCGACCACAACTATCATCATTGAACCGGTAACTTTCAATGATTTTAATTTAATACAATCACACTTATCGGTTAAAACCAATATTAAATTCACTTGTCAATTCCCCGAAAAGAGGTTTTCATTCGAAAAACCGCATCGCTAAGCTGTGACTGGAACCATAAACAACGTAACTTCTGATCGATATTTAAACGATTTTTCCTCTATTTTGATTAGTTAGGTGCAGCAATAAGGTTGAATTTTCGATGTATATGAGAGGATTTACGACGTTTTGTATTTGCATGGGTGGGCGGGAAAAATGGGAAAATGGTGACAGGGCTGAGAGCCGTGATAGCGCTATGGAAGCGTGGTGGGTGTTCAGTAGGGGTGTCACATACTTTGTTACATATTATTTTTATATCATATGTCGTAAATATCGTCATTGTACCTACACAGCAAATTATGCATCTAAAATAAAGATGTAATTATTATTTTGAAACATTTATCTACTTTTTAAATGCCTGTCACCAATAATTTACAATCAAACCAATTCTTCTCGAACGACAGTAATTTGCAAAGTGATTTGTTATTCATTGGAATAAATTATTGTCTCTTATCATGTAAACATTAATTACAAAGTCATGATACAATTAATTGAATTAGTTTGAGCTTAGCATAGAACTAGACGTGAATTCTTTAGTAAAGTGTTGGACACTTTAATGAAACCGTTTAGCTGCTTAGGTTTGTTAAGTAGACACGAACTATAATAAACGAAATACTTGGGCAACCCAGTTCTTATTAATGGCTTAAATTATTTTAATTGACAATTGCATCCTGAGACTCAGTGAGGCAACCCTACTATATTGTATCTAGCAGCGGTTAAATGAAAAAATAAAAAATCTACCTTCCATATTGGCCCCGCAAGTTCAATTAAAAGCGAGCCTTGCGGCCCCTATTGTGACAGCTCCCATTCATTCGGATTTATTTCGCATATTCGTTTCACACGTCAATAATTTCTTCATTATTTCCCATAATAATGTATACCAGGGCGCCATTTTGATTATTTATCGCGATATGCTTGTGCATTTAAATTTCGAAGCCGCGTTTATTCTTTTGTTTTAATGGCTTCTGTTAATGTTTTTTGCGTGATTGCCTGTTACTTTTCTGCTTCAAATAAAAGGGTTTTGAGAACGTTTTGGCTCAATGAGATTAAAACACTTAGGTATTACTTTTAAGTTTTGTCAAAGCTCTTACGTAAGTATGCAGATGAATTAGTTTAGATATCTAGGTCGACCGCGCTTTCAGAATCGCCCTTTCTCTTCCTGTTGACTGGTCGTGTATTACTAATACCTACTTCCAGTTCCAATATCTACATTCTTAGATAATTTAAATGGTGACAGTTTGCGAAAATATATTTAAAATGTCGGTAAGTGGGGACTTTGACCAAAAGGTACCCCACAATCCTAAACATATCTACGTAATCAATATCTATAGCTATAGGTACTTTCAGTCCAATTCATCTATCACGAGGGTAAGCAAAAATTAATAAAAACCTTTTCTAAAATTGGCAGTAGGTACTATAGAAAACTAAAGACACCAAAGTCATCATATTCCGATAATATGGGCAACAATATGGGTGCCTAGAAGGTTTTCTGGGCATGTTGATAATTGGCAATTTTGTAGATTTTTCATTCTCCAAAATCTATCTTGCGAATTTTTCATTCTCCAAAATATTCTTCTCTTCCAAAATTTATCTTGGAAGAATGGTGACCAATAACAGCTATTTTACAAATATTTTCCCGGTGTATTTATTTTTTCCATTAGAAGAACGTTCCTTTACTATAAAAAACAATTGTGACTCCTCATAATTTTTATACACTGGTGAAAATAGACACCGTATAAAAGCTAATTACCTACTTCACACTCGGACGTAACTTGAGCAGAACTAAAATAAAACACGTGAAAGGGTTCCACGGTTCCACTGTCCACGGAACTTGAAACAAGATCACTTTTACGCGGCAGAATGATCAAGTGACTTGATGCAACGCACTCGATAACTTGTGTTATGCAATTGTACGTACATATTGTAGAAGAAAATTGTTTGCGATATAAATTATATAATGTTGTCTCAACCTCAACTGCCATACCCTGAAGGAATTGACAGAGCAGAGGATAATTTAAAGAAGATTATTATCTGAGCCTACTTTTGGATTGGTGTTATTGTTATTAAGGTTCTATCATAATGACGTCGTAGAGTATGTAACAAGAGGCAGTTTTACGGCTGAATACTTTTTTTTATTGAAAAGGCAAAAATAAGGCAAAAGAATTAATTTCCACTACACCAGATAATTGTTTGTAGGTTTTACATGGAGGTACAATTAAGTAGGTACAAAATTAGTCATCTACCCTATTGGTGTACAGGACACCAATAGGGTAGATGACTAATTTTTATTTTAATGTCCATCTGGTAGATTATTTAAAAACATTCAACACGTATTTTTTATTTTCTTACGGAAACGAATAGTTTCATAATGATTTGAAATATCGCATGACGTCACTTTTAAGTACGATTTATACTCTAAAATGACGTAGCTGCCCCCCACTACTAAACTTTGATTCGTTTTATCTAAGTGTTGTTTTCTTATACGATAAAATAAAAAAATAAATACATGTGTCTAATATTTTTTCATTACATAACTGACGGAAATTTTTGCATCAGTTTTATGTAACCCACATAAATAGGTTTTACTACCTCTCCATTCCCTTGCCTCCTTCCTGAAAAACCAAGTGGAACGCAATAAAAGGATGAACTTAAAACTTGTACGGCCATCTGTCGGTTGTTAGTGTCTACTATTTGCGTTTTCCTTTTTTGTTCAATCAACAAAATCTTACTTTACCATGACTTAAAATAAAAAAGATTTAAACTTACCGAACTATACTTTTAATTAATAAAAACAATAATTATGATTTTAGTGAATTTTTATATTTTTTTAACGTTGCCTCAAGCTGGCGCTGATATTTATTAAAGTGTTAACACCGACTGTCATCTGTCATTAGTTATTGATTTTATTTATCACCAAACTCCGAAGTCCGAAGTTTTAATATTTCCAACCAATAACAAAATAACACACTTCAAGAGATAATTATGAAAGAAATGAAATAAATCAAAACAAAAGCCGCTCAATAGTTTACAGTTATAATTACAACAGACGTGGTAAGTTTGAAAACTAAATTATGACTTGTTTGTTTTGGATTATCATTGCCGAAATACCGGTACTATCTATAAAAAACAATCAGGTTTTGTTACTTTATTTTCAGAGATCGAACGGTTACAACCATGAGTTCCAGGAAGCCGTTAACTAAATCGCAAAAACTGCAGTATGAAAAGAAATATGAAAAGAGATCGCTTTACGTAAGATATTTTTTTGTTTCTTAAATATTTGCAATTTATTTCTGCATTTATTAGTCACAATTTCTACATTAGAAATAAATTAATAGTTTTTTTTCTACTTCAATACATAAAAAATTTAAAAACATGACTAACAATTTATTAACTTTTAATTTCTGTCCACAGATACCAATAAAATACTTTCTTATCGCTATTGTAATTTTATTAGCAGCCAGTTATAAATTGTATTTCGTTAAAACTGATGGTGAGATACCAGAAATAGACTTAGAGCAATGGTGGGGCTCATACCCAATGAATGAAATTGATACTTCTATAAGACCATTTATGATTGAATTCTCCGATGTAGTAAGTAATCATATTTATTATATTTTTTGCTGTTGCGAGTGCTGATCATTTTCTATTGGGTGATCAGTCTGCTGGTTTTTTCTTGTTATCTTCTAGAAATAAAAATATTCTAATAAGAATCTACATCAATGAATCAACAGTGCTGTGCCAATAAGACAAACAAGTGCAAATAAGACTTACTATTTTGTTTTATGACACAATGCTTGCTCAAAAGTAGGTTACACATTTGTTCCTCATCTAGTATTGTGTATATGTTACCGGCCAAACCCGATTTTAGGACAAACTAGTTTTGCCTAGGCTAAACTAGTTCTTCCTATACGCATTAGGATTAACTAGTATAGCCTAGTTCAAACTAATTTGTCCTAAGCCCGATAGGATAAATTAGTTTAGGCTAGGTCAAACTAGTTGATCCTGATATAAAGACGCACACTCTAGGATAAACTGGTATGGCCTAGTCTAAACATTCTAATAAATCTAGAACGTCATAATAAGTAAGTCATAAGTCATAAAAAATTGAATAAAATACTCCGTAATTGAAAAATAATCATTTTTATTAAACCATAATGATTCGTCGTTAAAACTTATGGTTAATTGGTAATACGAACAATCATCCTATAACAAATAATAAGTGTTTTTTGAAAGAAGCAATAATTATTTAAATTGTTAGTCATTTAAAATCATAATGATTCGTCGCTACAAGTTATACATAATAATTGGCAATACAATCATACTCAATTATTACTGTTTTTTATCACATAACATCACGCCTTTTGTCCCCGAAGGCACATTATGCCACTGAACAATATAACACCCACTTTTCACTATTTATGTTACGAGTCCCATGTAATAGGGGGTGAACCTATTGCCATATACCGGCCACAATTCCAGACTACGTGCTAGATACTACTGAGATTTTTTTTAAACCCAGTAATACTTTGCCTGACCCGGGAATCGAACCCGAGACCCCTTGCCTGGCAATCGCACTTGCGACCACTCGGCCAACGAGGCAGTCACACTGTTTTTTAATAGATGCAATAATCATATTATGACTAGGCCATACCAGTTTATCCTAGGGTGTGCGTCTTTATATCAGGAACAACTAGTTTGTCCTAACCTAAACTAATTTATCCTATCGGGCTTAGGACAAATTAGTTTGAACTAGGCTATACTAGTTAATCCCAACGCGTATAGGAAGAACTAGTTTAGCCTAGGCAAAACTAGTATGTCCTGAAATCGGGTTTGGCCGGTAACATATATATGTATTATTATTATTAATGAACCATCCGTCTGCTCATTTGCACCTTAATCCGTAAACAAAACAATTAATTTTGCAGAAAGTAAATGATCTGAAAGAGAGATTACTGCACCGAGCTCAATTCGCACCTCCTTTAGACAGTGCCGGCTTCTCATATGGCTTCAATAGTCTGTTTCTGCCCAAAGTACTGGATTTCTGGCAAAAAGAATACAATTTTGAGGAACGAGAACGGTTCTTGAATAAGTACAACCATTTCACCACTGGCATACAAGGCTTGGATGTACATTATATGCATGTGAAACCTGATTTGGGTGTTGGAGATGATATTACTGTAAGTATTCTACTTTTTGTTGAAATAACACATATTTGCTTAAATTCTCCAAACAGGTTAATGGTTTACATATTAAATAGCTACAAAGAGATGGGTGTAAAGTGTGCCATACATCAGACAGTATTCCAGACTCCGTAATGTTACCGTGAATTTTTGAAATACCAAAATAATTCTAATAATACATTTGCTGACCGGAAAATCAAAACCGAGACCCTTGGTCGGCAATTACGCTTAAGGGGGATGCTTGAACACCAATATCCATCTTAACGGACCAAGTAGTCAATTGACTATAGGTATTTATATACCCTAAATAATTATTTTTTTCCAGGTTGTACCAATTCTCTTGATCCATGGCTGGCCCGGCTCTATCCGAGAGTTCTATGAACTGATACCAAAGCTTGTAACTCCTCGACCCAACCATAACTTCGTCTTCGAAGTCATTGCTCCTAGCATTCCAGGATTTGGGTATTCTCAAGTAAGTGAATTGATGATTTCATTGTGATTTTTGATTCTTCATACTAGTAAAAAAATTAATGGGTTTAAGTTTCAAATGTTTGTATGCTTTTACCGCGTTTTACTACATGCATATGAATATACACCCACAGTAAATACTCATTCATACAATGTTGTCCATTTTCTTTAGTTAAGTAAATACTTTATATTGTTCAATGTCTCCGGGGGTCACCCGGGCCTGGTGATCTGTAACACAGGTTATACCTTTAACAGACACCAGTCTCTTAATTGTAACATATTATATAATTTGTATCCGTAGAGTATTTTTGAGAAAATGAAAGATTTTTATTATTAATTATTAATACATAAAAAAGAAAGTATGAGACAAGAAAGATCTAACTACATACAAGTCGTAGAAACAGATTTTCTATGAAAACATTTTCGTTATTGAGTGGTGGTCGCAAGTGCGACTGGAAGGGGTCTCGGGTTTGATTCCCGGGTCGGAAAACGTATTATTGGGTTTTTAAAAACCCCTATTACATGGGACTCATAACATAAAAGTGAAAACTGGTTGTTACATTGTACAATGGCACTAAGTGCCGTAATGTGCACCTCTGCCTACCCCTTCGGGGATAAAAGGCGTGATGTTATGTATGTTTGTATATTTTCGTTACCAATTATAATCTACAGGCCCCAGTACAACAAGGCATGGGGGCAAAAGAAGTAGCAGTTGTCTTCTACAACCTAATGAAGCGCATTGGTTACACAAAGTACTACGTGCAAGGCGGTAACTATGGTGCAAAGATTGGATCCGTTATGGCTACTCTGTTCCCTGATACTGTGCTAGGATTCCATACCAACACACCGAGTGTAACGTGGAGTCCTATGGCTATATTTTATGCTTTATTTGGTAAGTTTGGTTTTATTCTATGCTTTTATCAATAATCTAGAACTTTTATTTACAAATAATTTAAAATTAAATAAAATAAATACTCAAAAGTGCGTTTAAAAATACCGACTTCGAAAACCAAAACCTAAAAACAAGCAAAAGGTCAATACTAAAAAGCAAAAAATAACTATTATTAGTCATACATACTTATAGGTTATCCAGAAGAACTGGGAAGTCGGTGCCACCTTATTATTACAAGCTTTGTAGAATTTTATGACGGATTATAATCATGACCATTAAGCTAAGTTATATTTTGTAATGGGCTTGTGGCAAACACAAAAAAAAATACTGCCGAATTGAAAGCCTCCTCCTTTTTGGGGAGTCGGTTAAAAACTAACTTCCTTTTTCTGGTTAAGGTCTCTCAGGCCCTTAGATACTGACCTAAGTCGCGGAGAACCTAACGGGTAACCGAGGCTCCGGCTCGACGTGCAGGAGAAGGAACGGGGTGGTTTTTAGTCAGTAAGAGTCTGACACTCCCTCCCGCCTCACCCAGGCGGGAGCAGTCATTCGATGATTTTCACCCCTTAAAAAAAAAAGATACTGACCTAAGATAATTCTCATTCCAACAGCAAAATCTCAGTTCATTTCCAATTTTCCTATATTTTAACTGAAAGATATTTTTCGCTTATAGAGTTATGATTATCATAGTGTAAAAGGCATTCTCCGAGACTGTTCCGAGGCCGCTTAAGTCCGATAATACTTTGTCTTACCACGGCTTCGAAAGACCTGGCTTGGCAATCGCAGTTTTGGCCACTTGACCAACAAAACAGTCTAATAAATTACACGTGAATATTTCCAGGAACAATATGGCCAAACTTTATAGTGGAGCCTAGCCTGGCAGACCGCATGTACCCACTGTCACAGTACCTGAGCACAATCATGCAGGAGACCGGACACTTTCATATGCAAGCCACTAAACCTGATACTGTCGGTAAGATATTATCTAATAACATAACATAACATTTATCCCCGAAGAGTTAGGCAGAGATGCACATTACGGCGATTAATGCCACTGTACTATGTAACACCCACTTTTTACTATTTATGTTATGAATCCCATGTAATCGTGAGTGAGCCTATTGCAATGGTAAATGTACCATTCACAATTCCAGACTCCGTGCTACCACTGACATTGAAAAAAAAACCAGTAGTACTTAGCCCGATCCGGAAATCGAACCTGAATTTTCCTGCCACCTGCCAGTTTTCTGCCCGGCCTCATGGTATCACTCCGGTCTACCTGGCCCATGCGTGCCGTGCTTTACTTTCCACGTTTGTAGTTACTGGGTGTAGTAATAAAGACCAGTGCTTTTGTTTCACAAGAAGACCTCATGTTACAATGTTCGGAAATTATACAACCATGTATTCATATTTCTCAGGTATTGCTCTCTCAGACTCTCCAGCCGGTTTAGCAGCATATATCTTAGAAAAATTCTCAGCATGGACTGACAGAGAAAATAAACAGGCCATCGATGGAGCCTTATTGCAGAAGTTCTCGTTAACACATCTCCTGGACAATGTGATGATCTACTGGACGACCAATAGTATAACCAGTAGCATGAGGCATTATACTGAACATATGCAGTTGTGGACATTAGATCGGTGAGTATAGGTGGAATTCTAGAAAATAGTTTAATTTAAGTAAAAAATAACATAACAAAATTCGCCATTATCTTCCCCCAGAGTCCCAACAGACGTGCCAACATGGGGTATCAAGTTCAAATACAACCTCTGCTTCCAACCGGACAGCATTCTTAGACTGAAGTATAGGAACTACTTGCATAGTTCTATAGTAGAAGATGGAGGACACTTCGCTGCTATGGAACTGCCTGATGTACTGGCTGATGATATTTTTGATGCTGTCGATACTTTCATTAAGTTCAATGAGGAAAGGAAGTAAGTATTGTTTTTTCTAACTTCATTTTTAAGTCACATTTCTTCGGTTAAATATAACCGTGGTCTATCATAGTGGTACCTAAATTGAGAATGAATTTATTTTGTCTCACAATCTTTAATAAGATTAATATGTCATATCCTTCAAGGCAAAAAACAAATATTTTTACAGAAAAAGCGGACCACAACCTGAACCAGTTGAATCAAACGCTCAACAAACTCAATCAAAAACTGCTTCAACCAAACCAACCGAAAAGCCTACTGAATCAGCCAAGAAACCAACTAAACCAGCTAAACAACCAAATGAACCAGCGAAGCAACCAAATGAACCAGCTAACAAACCAACTGAACCAGCCCAGCAACCAACTGAACCATCCAAACAACCAACACAAGTAGACTACATGAAAGCGAAATCGGTTCACGAATTCACTGTAAAAGACATCAATGGCAACGAAGTCAAACTCGACCGGTATAAAGGACAAGTACTTATAATCGTCAATGTAGCTTCCAATTGCGGCTACACAAACGTTCACTACAAACAATTAAACGAACTGTATGAAAAATACAGCAACAAAGGTCTACGTATACTGGCCTTCCCCTGCAATCAGTTCGCTTACCAAGAACCAGGGAGCCCTGAAGAAATTTTAAAATTCACTAAAGCTAAACAAGTGAAGTTCGATTTGTTTGAAAAGGTCGCTGTCAATGGCGAAGATGCTCATCCTCTTTGGAACTTCTTGAAGAGGATGCAAGGAGGTACTTTGGGTGACTTTGTTAAATGGAACTTTTCCAAGTTCATTGTTGATAAAAATGGCGTCCCTGTTGAACGGTTTGGTCCTAATACTGATCCTTTGGAATTGGTACCTTATTTGGAGAAACTTTTTGATCAGTAAACTTTCATTGGGTGTGAAAAAGTGAGAATTCGATTTAGTCCGGTCGATAGATTGTAAAAAAGACAATTATTTACTATTTGAACTTGGAATTTGAACAAAATTACGACATTATTAATCTACTAGACGGACAAGAATACTAAACCATTGTCCCTAATTCCCTATCCACAATAGTAGGTTCAAATTATAATGTAGTAATACCCAACTACACCGAGACTTAAAAATAAGATCAGTGAAAGAGGAAGTCGCAAGCAAACTGTATTCGTATTCTCGTCGCATAAGGAGTCACCCTAACGAGCTTGCGCGCATCAAAAGGAGAGCTCCACAGGATCTACTCCTGTCGCAAAAACAATATCCAACCCAATTTAATATAAAATCCCTCGAGGATGCAGTAATTGAAGACGGGTACACCACTGGGCGTTCTCCGTACATATCACAATACATGAACCTCTTAACCACCAGCTAAATGCCCAACTGGGCAGATTGCAGGGAAATAAGGAGATAATAAAAAAAATTATAATATTAACAAAATAACTATTTGAAAAAGTTTTCCCAGCAAGTTACATGTTAAAATTCGCAATTAAAATATGGTAAAGACCTCTGGTACCCGGAACGTTAATCTACGCGATACAATGTATTATCTAATGTGTCTCATATGAGGTGAAAGAACTGTGTTCTTGTCTGTGTACATAATATACATGTACGTTACATAGAATTTAAAAAAAAATGTTGTACCAGATGTCCATGGGTAGGGTATAAAATATACCAAATTATAATTAAATATCCAAGTAATTACTTGGGTATTTAATATACCCAAGATATTACTTACCGGTTATAACCGGTATGAAAATTCTGTAAATAACCTTGTCAAGATATACTAGTAGATATTTTTTCTTGTATATGGTATGTATAACTTACATAATATTTTTATAATAACTATCGTGAGGCATACTAAATTAACTAATAATCGCGGGCTACATAGAAAAGCTCTACTAGTTTCGAACCACAGAGGGGTTCTTGCTCATGAATAGAGGGCGCAGTCGCGGCGATGTCGCGCAGCCTACCACTGGTTCAAACCTAGTAGAGCTTTTCTCAGTATATTCACGTGAGTAATCCGCGAATTTTAGTTAATATTTAATATTATTATCTTTAGAAGGTATATCCAGATTATGTAACATTTTCTTGGATAGTGATGGGAAAGGAAAGAATTTTGGATTGTAAATCTATGTATGAATGACAAAGTCGTGTTAGTAATGCCGTTGCTGACTCAAAAACGGCTGGACTGATTTTGGTGATGTTTAAGATTTTGGATAAGCACAAATTGCTGAAAATTGTTGCGAAGTTGTTATATGGCGTGGACGCTGATTTAACATTTTACCTTTGTCGAAATAAATCTTATTGATAGAAGTTCCCCATATTATAATCAAATAGTGATGACAGACATATTTTTGATGTAATGATAATGTTCCCAGTTCTCAAACATTAGTAGCAATCTGTAGTAGTTCTTCCGTATTACAATATCAATATACTTAAGCTCAAAATACATAATAATAATGTACTTAGATTTAAGATATTCCTATGTTACCAAAGCGTAACAAAGCATTTAATTTTTAAATATTTATTTTTGTTGAATAAATAAATAATGACATGAATTATTGTTTTAATAATTTCCCCAATCCCCGAATCCCCAACAATCCTCAAATTCCTAATCCCCAAAAGGCCGGTAACGCACTTGTAACACCTCTGGTGTTTCAGGTGTCCATGGGCGGCGCCGATTGCTTACCATCAGGAGACCCGTCTGCTCGTTTACCGCCTTATCCCATAAAGAAAATAATAGAAAACTACATTTATCATCATTAACGGGAGGGCTTAGTACTAATTTGTTTTTCGTACTAATTTGAGATAGAAACGCGACCACATTCTCGACCTCTCGACTCAAGTGCCAAGCACGAATAACTATCGCATACGTAACGTAATAGTACCGTCGAACGCCTTCAGCGCACTGATTGGCCGGCTTCAGTAAACCAACCAATCAGAGTTGGTTTTTTCATTGGCTCCAGCCATTCAGAGCGCCGAACGCGGTCTCATTTCCCACTTTAAACGTAAAAGAAACTCGTGCTAAGGCCAATTTCCGTCTACTGCTGGACATAGGCCTCCACAATAACATGCCACAAGTCGATCTTCAGCTTTTACATCCAAAAGTAGAAAGTACCACCACTACCCAGCTAGATGGACCATTTTTATGAGGATGGACAGTCACCAAATGACTCCCGCACTGGGCGAGGCGGAAAGGAGTGTCAGGCTCTTACTGAACCACGGACAACTTAACGGGTCGCTGGGGCTCCGGTTCGAAGCCGGAGTAGAAACGGGGTGTTTTTAGTCAAGAGTCTGACAAACCCTCTCGCCTCACCCAAAGTTCCCATCTTGGAGGACACAATGAATGATTTTTGCCCCTCAAAAAAAAAAAATACTGGCTAAAATCCACCCGTTCTTACTCCCGCTTCATACTGGGGTAACTGTATACGGCTCGCCTTGTCTGCGCCACCGGCACGAACATCTAATATGAGAGTACGATTGTCTACAGCAACTACAATAAAACATAAATAATAAATCTCAAAATTAATATAATCAAACAATTTACATGAAAATCAAACGGTTTGTCGTCCGAGCCGTAGTTTGGACAGGTCTTGTATGGTATTGCGAGAGCTTGAAGAGTCCGTCCATTGCAGTTCTGGTATCGCCGCTATCATCTGTGTGGGAGTATAATGTTAGTTTTTGATAGTGGCCCGTTGATGTTGTTCGATGCCCGAGTATTATATATAACGAACGATTAACATACGATCATATTTGAGTTCCAAGACTGCAGGTCTTAGATCTAGGGGCAGACTCGCAAATGTGACTAAAACCACAACTGCTACAAATACAAAATAATTCTCTGCTTCGATGCTTTTAAACAAAAACAGTAATCTTTAGAATGAGAATTCCTGTCAGAAGAGCATTTTGGACTTGACATTTTAAAAATATGCATTTTCTTACCAGTTGGTGTAGACGCCACACAAACTTCACTATTTCTCTTTTTACTCTTCCAATATCTGCAATCTACATTACTTCAACTAAAGAATTAACTAAATAAAAATAAATAGGTATAGGACTAAATAAAATACACATAAAAAATCGATTAGGTTTTTATTGATTTACTTACTGTAAGATTCAAAAAATCTCCGGCCACCGCAGTTATATTTGAAATAAATTATATACATTTACATACATAAGTAAGTACTTATAAATAAATACATTTTGTAATACCAAATTACATAAGACATATTAATTTAAGATTTTTATCTCAAACTGTAAAACCTGTGACAAAATACCGATCAATTAAATAGATACTATATTTTATTATCTGTAACTACAATTTTACTAATAAGATCCACTTAGAAACTATTTTTCTATTTTCCATTACACCATAAATGCCAAAAAATAACGGAATGTCACTAAATTCCATTTTCAATTCAAAGTAGACCTTATTCAATTAGAGAAGAGGTTCAAAGTTCATTATTACGAAAAATACAATACAAAAAACTACAACTGCTTTCAAAATAAATACAATTTACTTCAAATATTACTTTTCATTTTACATTCAAGCGACGGATACTCATTTACATGTGTAACTATATCACTTACTAATGGTTGAAATTAAGTACTGACCTAGACCAAAAACTCTGGATTTTTGACAGAAAAATTTTGGTTTCAGGACAGTTATGAAATTCAGCCATAAACAGCTTTCAAAAAGCTACAACTAAATAATATAGTTACACAAATAAACAGCTAATTACTACAAATACTCAAGGTATGTCTTTGATAACCTCGGCCAGCTGTTCCCGGGTGAACATGTGGAACATGGATCCAGGAGTCATGGTCACCACCTCCACATTGTTCTCTGACAGCTTCTCTTCCATCACTTGCTTGAGGATCGTGAGCGCTGACTTGATAGCTTCCTTGAGAGTCATGGATTTGTGGTAGACTTCCTGTAAAATGGTGAGAAAGGAGATTAATTAATGTTAGCTCTTGCCCGCGCCCGATTAATTGTGTCGTGGGTGCGTTTACATACAATATCACATATACATAACACCCAGACCCGGAACAACAATCTGTAGATCACACAAAGAGTTGTTCCGTGCGGGAATCGAAACCCGCGACGCGTTGCGCGGCAGCCAGTTGTCCAGCCACCGCGCCAACTTTGCAGAAATAAATAACTATTTCATTTGCACTTTTCACTATTTATGTTTTGAGTTTATATCTTCATAAAACTAACCTTCAAGCTCTGCTGAGCGCCTTCACTACCAGAGCCGATGGCCTTAGCATCATACTGCACAAATGTACCACTGGGATCCATGTGGAACAACTGAGGACCTTTCTCATCAATACCTGAAAGCAACAAATTATAAAAAACAATAATTATTAGAATTGTGACGGCAAAAAACATGTGGCTATTTGACTACTTGGCCACCATAATGATAAGCAGTTTAATATTGTAAACGACATTGTGGTGGTCAGAGGTTAAGACACTCGCTTCTCATATATGAAGGTGCGGGTTCGAAAGTGGAAACCTACTAACGGCAAGTACCAATGTGGCTTTACCGGGTTATATGTACTTTTTAAAGTATTAAGACACCATTTTGTCAGTATAAACGGTAAAAAAGATTGTGCAGAAACCTGGACTTATAACTTCTAATTATAAGATTGAAATCGCCAACCTGCATTGAGCAAGTGTGGTGATTAATGCTCAAACCTTCTTTGTGTGAGAAGAGACTTTAGGTCAGCAGTGGCCGCTTATAGGCTATTGATGTTGTTGTTGAATATTTTCAATTTACTGTAACCTCTTGAGTACCAGTATATGAGACACAGAAAATGAATTGTGTCTCGTGTAGATCTATGTTCGGGAATACCAAGGGTTAATGGAATAGGTTGGTCAACAAGCAAACAAATCATTTGATGGGCACAACAGCAAAGGAGTGAAAAGTGTCTTCCAAATCACTTGATGATGTTTATTATTATTGAAATTAGTAATACATTGATAAATCATACCCAAGATATGTTTAAACAAAAGTAGTCTCTAAACATCGGAAAATAAGGTCTATAATGGAGTTAGTGGAGAGTGATCACCGGTGACCATTTTGGGATTGAACAATTGATCTATTTGACATGTCCAAATAACTTTCAGTCGCATCCAGTAAAATTAACCTTTTGAACGCCAGAGCAAAAACACATGAACCTGCCCTCAACGCCAAGCCACAAATTCCGCGCAAATTTCTACGGAAGAAATAGGGATTCCAATAGGGAATCAAATTGTTGATTTCGTGTTTCCGGTTCCGCTTTTTCTGTCATGTATTTGTTGCGTCCAGGGACAGTTTTCACTTGTCACTTATATATGACATCGGCGCTCAAAAGGTTAAGTAGGTGTGCATCCATAACTCTTTATTTATATTATGAAGTCTTAGATTATAATTACCTGCAAACATAACAGCAACACCAAAAGGCCTGGACATAGCAGTTCCACTGTCATCATCACTATCTCCAAATTGTATAGCCAAGTTGGACACAGCCTGAGCACAAGACTCCACACTCATGCGCTCATTGTACACAAACCAGTGGTTCTGACACTCCACACGGGCACGCTCCACTAGAGTTCTGAAAAATAACTAGTTGATATAATATCTTGGTAATTTAATACTTGTAAGTTAAATTTAAATAGTTATCATTGCAAATTAATATAAAACTACATTATAATAATCTTATTAGATTTCTCAACTAATTTAGTATAAGTAAGCGTCTCCATAAGGAATACAGACAGGTAAAATTAGTATAGCTTTGTGACATAAATTGTATTACCTAGAATCAGCCATCAACCCAGACACAGCGCAAGCAATATGTCTGTCCACCTCCACAATCTTCTCAATAGTAGTAGGCTCCATCAGAGGCGAAGTAATCCTCTTTTCAACAGCCAAAACTACACCTTCAGACGTACAGATACCGATCGCCGTCGAACCAAGTTTGATCGCTTCAATAGCATATTCCACTTGGAACAGCCTTCCCTCAGGGCTGAATGTGTTCACACCACGGTCGTACTCAGAACGTGTAAGGAACATCTGCAAAGAAAACAATTTAATTTCACCGGGATAGGTTAGAACTTGGATACCATGACAAAGCGTTTTCATAAATTTCGCTAAGTACAACAAACTGTTGTCTGTTTTTAAATCAATTTATACGTACCTTGAATAGATTTCTTTTAATATAAATGGAATTGATGAAAAGTTTCACAGGTTTTCGTACAAAATGAGTAATCAAATTTTTCGCTGAGTCCGGCCGTCAAGCAACCAAACAAAAATTTCTAAATGTCAAACTCAAACAAGCGAAAACGAAACGTCAGCGTCGTAGTTTCGTCAACAAATAGTAAGTTGCTAAGTTTAGTCGATTAATATTTTTTTATAAGTATTGGTTGAATTTTGGAGAAATTAAATTATGACACATTGACATCATATTCTGCTATTTACTCTTTGGTGTACTCGTGTACTCTTTGTCAATTGGTCAAACTATTTGTACACATCAATAAACCAACAGTCATTTCTATATAGGTTAAATTGTTTTGTTGTGTTTTCTGTATTTACATTTACGTAATGTATTGTATCCACCTATTTCCAGCTCTTATTATCAGTATACATGATACGTAATGAATGTCTCGGATAAATTGTTATTGTCACAGAATTACATATTTATTCTAAATGTAGATAATATTCTTTTGTGTCCTATTAGGTCGTCCTAGTACTTGTTATCTATATAATTGCAATCTGAGTACGTAGCCACCCATTAATATTGTGCCGGTGTTGTTATACTCATGTAAGTAAGTACATAAACTTTTTAAAATTATTTTTGACAACTAAAAACTTGAAATAGGTAGTACATAGTTAAAAGAGGCTATTATCTCACCAACATTAGCATTTACATAAGATATAATTATCTGCTGACTAACCAATTTCCTAAAATTTTACGAATAAAGTAATGTTATAATAATTTCAGCAATAATATCGTATTAAAGGTGAAAATATTAATATAAACAAAACTTTATTTTTCCTTAGTCCCATTTATATCCTGCAGGTACGAACAAAACGTAATTACCGAAGCATTTTGTGGCGCGAAATTAAATTCGTAAAGAAAACAACAGCAGGAAAACCTACCTGTTAGTAAGGTACAGGCAGTTTAGTTTAATAAATTAGTCCCTGTTTATTACTTTTTAATATCCTCTCGTGACTACTTGTACCGTCTGTACCTACCTATTTTAAAAATTATTTTTCTATTATCCTTTACCTGTAGCAACGTAGCGACGGTGAATCCGATTTATTTTGTTAAACCTGGTATTGGTAAGACGTTCGCTCCGTATAACAGAGGTTTCCTAATATAACTGGTGAAGTGTGAGTGTCAGTGATTCAGATACGTGCACAGTGCACAAACAGGTTATCAAAAATAAACGCCATACCTTCTTAGGTCACTTATCCTTTTATTGATAGAATGAAAAAAACATGAAGAGTCCAGGTCCTTCCTGGGGAAGTAGGGGATTTCAATGGTATCGGTATGTACGGATGTACTGATTTATTTTTCTTGTTTCAGGTCCAATTTGTTTAAAATCAATCACTACGTACGTACGTAAACATGGAAACCCTAGGTGGTATATCGTCTATGGTGAAAAACGAAAAATATTTTCTTATAAGTTACGACACAGGGGAACTCGCTCGCCTATATATCCTAAACAGTCATGTTTTTAAATTCTACATGTCACCAAGCGGTAATTTTTTGGACTATCCTGTACCCAACCACCCGACAGACAAAGCGAAAATAAACGTTAAAGCTATCACTGATTATGATCCTAAATCGTTTGAATATTCCGTTCTTGAAACTACATATGAATGCTACAATGTTTATACCAATAAAATTACGATACGTTTCGATAAAAAAGAAGGAATTATGACCGTAAGGGATATGAGGACCAACAATGTTATACTGAAGGAATCGGAACCACTCTCCTATGCTGTTAACAAAGTGAGACAGACACTGCACCAACATGAGGACGAGTTCTTCTTTGGAGGCGGAATGCAGAACGGACGGTTTTCACACAAAGGACAACAAATAGACATCGTTAACTCAAATAATTGGGTCGCTGGAGGAGTCACATCGCCATGTCCTTTCTTCTGGTCCACTTACGGTTATGGAATCCTACGTAATACTTGGCAACCAGGCGTATACGATTTTGGAAATACAAATCCTAGTGTAGTCGTAACCTCACATAAAGGAAATGATTTTGACTCATTTTTCTTTATAAATTCCAATCCTAAAGATATCTTGAATGACTACTACGAACTGACCGGAAAACCGATCTTTATGCCTGAATATGCATTTTACGAAGCTCACCTAAACGCATTTAACCGTGACTACTGGGTCAAGGTGATGCAGGATACGCCTGGCGCGATTTTATTTGAAGATGGTTTTTATTACAAATGTTATCAGCCAAAAGATATGAATGGCAAAGATGGTATATTAGAATCTTTAAATGGAGAAAAAAACAATTACCAATTTTCAGCCAGAGCTATGATCGGTAGGTATCAAAGATATGACATGCCATTAGGCTGGTTTGTGCCCAACGACGGCTACGGTTGTGGATACGGACAGACGGACTCCTTGGATGGTGACATAGAAAACTTGAAACAGTTTGCAGACTATGCTAGAAGAAAAGGTGTGGAAGTTGCTCTTTGGACTGAATCTAATTTAGAACCAGCAGATCCAAACAACCCAAAGAAAGGAGAGCGCGATTTAAATAAGGAAGTAGGTGTAGCTGGCGTAGTGGCACTCAAATGTGACGTGGCGTGGATCGGATCTGGCTATTCTTTCGGTCTTAACGCTTTAGAACATGCTAATGAACTGTTTCTCAAGGGCGCTAACCACAAAGCTAGAACGATGATCATAACGGTGGATGGTTGGGCAGGAACCCAAAGGCACGCAGGCGTATGGAGCGGAGACCAGACCGGAGGTCAGTGGGAATACATACGCTTCCATATACCTACGTATATTGGATCTGGTCTCTCTGGAATACCAATAGTCGGTTCCGATATGGACGGTATTTACGGAGGACAAGGTAAAGCAGTTAATGTGCGAGACTATCAATGGAAGACTTTTACGCCACTCCAACTAAACATGGACGGCTGGGGGAAAGTGCAAAAATCTCCTTTTAGTTTTGATGATGAAGCCAAGCGAATTAACAGAGCGTATTTGAAATTAAAAGCTATGCTCTTGCCATACAATTATACCATTGCTCATGAATCTATTAACGGTTTACCGATGATCAGGGCAATGTTTCTAGAGTTTCCGAAAGAATCCTGTGCGTACACGAAAGACGCTCAGTACCAGTTCATGTGGGGACCATCCATATTAGTAGCACCAGTGTATAAAGAAAAAAATAATAATGGAGACTGGGTTCGCAATGGCGTCTTCCTTCCCGACCTCAACCAAGTGTGGATAGACTTGTTTACGGGAGCGAAATACCAAGGAGGTAAAATATGGAACCATTTGAAATCTCCGCTATGGCGGATACCAGTTTTCATAAAAGATGGTGCTATCATACCTATGGTCAATCCAAATAACAATCCTTATGAAATCAAAAGGGATTTGAGAGTGTACAATATTTATCCAAATGGTGAAACAGATCTTGAAGTTTATGAAGATGATGGTCGTACGTCTGATTATTTAGATGGTTTTCACGCTTTTACTCATTTGTCAGTCTCAGGTCCGTCTACAAATGGGTATGGTAATTTGCACATTCATATTCGCAAGACAATTGGAAAATACAAAAACATGGTAAAAGAAAGATCAACTTTACTAAGGATAATGATTTCAAAAACTGTGGACTACGTTAAAGTTGCTATTAATAATGAACCCGTAACTTTAATAAGAGTTAAAACTGAAGAAGAATTTAACATATCAGACGACGCATTCTATTACAAAGACGATTTTATCGTAAACCCATACCTTCATGGTTTTGGTGGAGACGCACTAAAACAAAAGTTCTTATTAATTAAAATACATAAAATCGATGTTACAACAAGCGATATACATATAAAAATCAATGACTATCAGAACAAAGACATTATTCATGGAAGCAACACTTCTCTAAATAACGCATTACATTATCCCTCTAAGTTTACCACGCGGGACGAAGATGTGACACCTACATCTATAACCCTACATTGGGAGGCAATGACGGGGGCTTACGTTGAAATAGAAAGAGATGGAGCAGTGTTTACCAACATATCAGGTTCCAGCTATACGTTTGAAGGTTTCCCATTTGATTCAGAGCATAAGTTTAAAATTCGTTCAGCTAACTCTGAAGGCGTATCAAAATGGAGTTACACTATAGTTGTGTCGACGAAAGAGGATCCGCAAAAGCATGCTATTAAAGTGATTAAAGTTACTTGTAACATTCCATGCCAGCCGTCCCAAGAAGTTTGCAAGTTGACTGATGGGGACACAAGGTCCTTGTGGCATACTCATTGGGCGAGACCAGATCAAGCGAATCCACAGAAAGGCAAAGTAATAACACTCAATTTCGACTTGGATGGCATTTATGAGGTCGATAGATTGGAATACACGCCTCGCGAAGATGCAGGCAACGGGACCATACTACAAGTGCAATACAGACATTCCACTGATGGAAAAGTTTGGAGTCCAATGTCCAGCAAAATAAAATGGGATCACGATGAAAGTGTAAAACGCATTCCATTAAATGGCACTAAAATGAAATACGTAGAGCTTAATATTTTAGACACCATTGGCGGGTTTGGCTCCGGAAAACAAATTTTGTTCTATAAAAAAGATTAAGTTTCATTTGCGCGTGCAATATGCTTTAATTGTGCCTTGTCTGAAGATTATGTACCGTACTGTCATGTATTAAGTTTAGTATTATTTTTTTTATAAATTTTCCGTATTTCTCGTTTATATTTCGTTAATAAAATTTGACATTAATTGTATTTTTACATATTTTTATATAGGTACATTTATATACACTTTTTACTATTTTTGTTAGAGGTAGACCTATTTGTTAGGCGAGTATAATTTATTTGATTAAATCGTCACGTCTATGTAGAATTTAAAAATGCATTTATTTTTTGTATGTAACATACACCATTGTACAACTAAAGTTATTGTAAAGAAATAAAAGACATTATTTTGCTAAATTCAATATGATTTAATATTTTTACCTTTTCACAATAGTAATAATAAAATCTTTAACAAAAACATGGTGCCGATGACTTATTTTGTGTGCTTGTAAAAATATTATGCAACAATTCAAGTTTGTAAATCTTCTGCGTTACGTATTGCGATGATCGTACAGACAGAGGAACTGGCGTCGAAGATACAGCTAATCGATATATCTTCAAGTACGCAACTGTACTCATGACCTGGGTACCTATTCCTTACGTATTGAGACCTTGGATCTTCAGAGAGCAAGCATTCCAAATTAGCTTTGAAGCCCTGCGCTCTGTCCCCGATCAATTCATTCAACCGTGTGAGGGCATCATCAGTGAATCTTACGTCGTAAGTCTGTGCTGGGGGATTCGCAATCCATGGCGCTACCCTTATCCCATCATGGTTATATTTGTCACATGAGCTGATTGTGGTGGGGTATACCTTTCTTGACCATCAGGTGCCCCTCTCTCAGTGTCAGGCCTTCGGGTGGCAGGAGATCGGTAGTTGCCATCAAGTGCGTCTCCACTTGTTGGTGAATCAGATGCTGGTGATATTGGTGTAGTACCATTACTCGGTTGTCCTGATGATGGCTCTCCAAATGAACGAGGTGAAGCCGTGTCTATGCCGATCGGATTCGTTATCCGCGGGCTGAGACTGAAATAAAAATACATCTTTTTTATGTGGTGTACACGAAGGAGTTTAGTATACCTTAACACGCTAACTAACGACATCTATGGATTTTCGTATGTATATTCGAAAGTAATAATAAAAATTCTATCTACTTAATTTAGGGGATTGGAAAACTTACATACTGATGAAGCATTAAATAATTTTAGCATTTTATCGGAACTGAAAACCAACAAAGTATGATAAAATTATGATGTTCAGTAACATTGCTAACTAGATGTATCGTTAGTCGAGTAATTGCAAAATAGTCGATAATGGGGAATGATTTTTTTTTACTTTCAAAATAATTATAATAAAATAATGCCTTGTGATAGCATACTTGTATGCTCGTCCAAGCCTGATTAATTCGTTTTTAAACTTAAAGAAACAGATTTATTATTAAGAATACGACATTGTATACTGAATAACTATTATCGTTATTGCGGTCTATGGAAAAAAATGGGAATCTATATAAAAAAATAATTATAACCAACCTCCTTGCATCAAAATTTTCATCATCAATCGGTAGATTGGCAAGCGTTTCAGTTACATCACTAATTCCTTCTGTCGGAGGCCGTACCAGAGCGGACATGTTCTCTCCGAAGGCAGGCACAGGGTAGTCATACTGAGGTATATATGGTTTTACGTCCAACACTGGGGTCCCATTCACCATGTCCACACCAAAGAAATGTATTTTGTTTCCTGTAATAGTGCAAGATAGCCGTCAGACATGCTTACAGTAGTCCTAAGTAGGTATTGTCACCCATCCAAAACAATGAGTATGGTCAAGTGGATACTTCCCAAGACAAAGTTTTTGTGTTTTTGTATTATAACTATCACAAGACATTTATGTGTTAGATAAGACTTGAGAGTACCTTTAGTTCCCCAAAATGCTCATAAAAATGTATTACAAAAAAGCTGTCTATACATAAATTTTATTGTAAGAAATTGTGAGTAGTTTAATTTTGTACTCGACGTTTTTCTCCTAAAATACACAGGAAAAGAGATATTGCAAAAAAACTGCTTTTGGCCATTTTTCTAAGATGACGGCGAGAGCGGCGCATATACAAAAGTACAAAATGGAAATCGGACAGAGCACATAAAGATACAAACCAGCCAATTCAACTCCCGGTAAACATTCCAGGCAATCCCCATATTTCCTCTTTAATGATCAAACTATTTGTAGTGTTATAAAATTTTATAAGTGAGATAGTATGTTTTTTAGTGACTCACAACACTAAAGAAATTAGAATAGTTGGGTTTTCCGTACCTTCAATCCTGTCAATCTTCACAAGAGAAAGGCCAATAGGACAAGGGCGGTGGGGCGACCGGGTTGAGAAAACCCCTCGCCTCTCACCACGGAGCCTAGGTGGCGCTACTTTAGCTGGTGAATTCGTACTCTCCGTCATGTGGAAATGGAATAATATCCTGAAAATGTATAAAAATGGATTTAAATAGATTTTGGCGTATACTACTCACAATAAATATTGATCTTCTACAGAAATATTGTCATTTCCAAAGTTGACATAAGATTTTCTACTTCTTTTTACTTTAACTCTTTTAACTTATCAATCCCCAAGCAGTCATCGGTGATCGCTCTCCACTAACTACATTATAGACCTTATTTCTGATGTTTAGAGAGTACTTTTTTACAAACAAATTTTGAGGATTTAATCAAGATTTATCAAGTGATTAAATAACTTATTATCTCTATGTCACATATTTTCAGGCTATCTATTCAGGCTTGAAAGTAATTGACTTAGATCGTCAAATAGTTACAGGAGTTACCTGTTACATATATTTTACATAATTATAGTTACCTGTTATATTCATTTATTTGTTTATGCACTTTAAAACTTACCAGATATGAGAAAACTCTTCCAAGCCAATCAGCGCATGATCTGGATTATTAAACACCGAAGTATTGATCACCACTGTGCCTCTAGCATTTGCCATCACCGAAGGTTGACGTGGAACACCCCGTTTATTATGGAATGCGGTCTCAATAAATCCGATAGGCTTATAAACTAGGTCTTCCGGATCAAGCTGTGACATGTCTCCACCATTGTGGGTTGGTATAACTGTTGTTGCTTAAAAAGAAAAAAGTATAAAATAAGTATTATTTTTATTTCTCATTAAATTTTAGGGACTTTTATATAGCACAGATTATCTAGACATCACTGACAAACGGTGAAGGAAAACATTGTGAGGAAGCCTGGGTTTACAATTTCTAAATACAAGTTTGTAATCGCCAACCCGCATTGAGCAGGCGTGATGATCAATGCTCAAACCTTCTCCGTGTGAGAAGAGGCTTTGCTCAGCAGTGGGCATTTATAGGTTGTTGATGATGATGACGATACAGCACAGTGTATGTCAGTCCCATCGTAGCCTAACAAGTGTATAAATCAACTAGAATACAAAAAAAGGTCAGTCAATGAATCAGAGCCTTAAGTTGAACAACATTCTCGCATTATCGGTACTCGGATAATAAGTAATCTTCTAGCTAGGAGGTCTCTTCATCATAAACCTGTCTCTTTGGAGAGAGGTTAGACATAATATACAGCCCTATGTAGTTACTAGTGTTATAAAAAATCTAAGAAAGAGTAAAGGAAGATTTTAGCAAAAAACACACATGCAAAGTATTACTGGATTAATAAAATCTCAGTAGTAGCACGGAGCCTGGAATTGTGCCCAGTATATGGCAATAGGCTCACCCCCTATTACATGAGACTCATAACATAAATAGTGAAAAGTGGGTGTTACATTGTACAGTAGTATAATGTGCACCTCTGCCTACCCTTTCGGGAATAAAAGGTGTGATGTTATGTTATGTTATTACAATTTCATAAGATTCTTAAATAGTGAAGCATTTTAAGTTGGATAGGATAAAACAGATTCTAACTTAATTATATTATAAATTTATTTTACTTACTAACAGCAATATTATGGTAAGTATACAAAAAAAGAGTGATAACTATAAATTACAGTTAGTTAAAGGTATGAAACACCTATGTGGTGTGAACTAGAATGTCTAAATCAGTCTGAAAGTCTCAAAATATGTAACTCATCCTCAATAAATCACTTAAACAATGTTCTACAGTGTTGATTATGTTCTACAAATGCATGGATGCGTAAAATTTCAGTGCTAAATTAAATAAACTGAAAATTCAACAATTACCACTATCGCCGCAGTTTGCACAACGAAGTGTGTTCAGATGACTCTTGATATACCTTACTTCCTTCGCATGTTCCTGTTTAAGCGACGAAATTTGCTGCCTACAATAAAAATATAAATTATTGCTATGAAATAAGCTTACGAATTTGAATATTGATTATCAATTTATCACTGTCTTACCTTAAATTCTTGATTTCTGTTCTAGCAATAGCTATTTGATTGCGGTAATAATCTCCATTGTCTGTCATTTTGTACAGTAAATCTTAATAATTTAATAGTAAAAAGTTCCCATTTATTTGGTTAGAATCAGACCCGCTGAATGCAGCAGAGTTGACGGACTTGACGGTTAACAAGCGTCATTTTGACATTGACGTGCGTAGTGCTAGGGATGTAGAGATTCAGTCAGCTGGAAAGTTTATTATAGGGATTTCTATGCAGTTTGGACACGCATAGAATGCGTTACTGAGACTTCTTAGTAAGCTAGATAATTTAATCATAAAAATAATTCAGAATGCAGCAGCACATTCGCATTTGATAATTATTCTGCTTCCTTTGTCCGAAAAAATATCAGAGTAGAGTACAGAGGCCTGCTAAAAGTTAAACAGAAGTACTAACTACTAAAGGGAATTCCCTCTTTTATTGGATGGCCTTGCTATGCAATGGCAACTATAAAAATACAAATATTCTACAAGATTTTTTAATATGCTTTATAACATTGCCCTACCTTTTGTTGCAGAATCTTACCCAAACAAAACTCTTCGTTTGGTCATTTATTAATGAATATTATTTA